GTGCTGGGGGATCGAACCGCGGTCCCTGTGCTTTGCCAAGCTTGTTCCAAGTAGGTGCTTTAGACCACTGAGCCATCTCTCCAGTCCCAAAATTTTATAATTTTTTAAAAATTATTTTTTTTGCGGAACCAGGGATTAAACTCAGGCCCTTGCGCTTGCCAGGCAAGTGCTTATTCTACTGAGCTATCTCCCCAGCCTGTAAATTTTAGTACCAGAGATCCAACTCAGGACCTTGCGCTTGTCAGGCAGGCATTTATGCCTCTGGGTTATATCCCTGGCAATGGTCTATGTATAGAGTAACTTACTACAAGATTTTTTTTTTTTTTTCCAGAACCGGGGATTGAACTCAGGTCCTTGTGCTTGCCAGGGAAGCGCTTATTCCACTGAGCCATCTCCCCAGCCCCCTTTTATTTACTTATTTATTTATTTGTGTGTGTATGTGTATGTGTGTGTGGCCAGCTCAGCCCACCAGGGGGCGGGGCTGGCTGGCATGTGGTGCTGGGGGATCGAACCGCGGTCCCTGTGCTTTGCTGAGCTTGTTCTAAGTAGGTGCTTTAGACCACTGAGCCATCTTACCAGCCCCTACTACAAGATTTTTGTAGAGGTTGTTGTTTACTGTCCCTAGGAATCTGAATAAAGACCATGAGATCTTGGTGTATTTGTTTCTTTGGGTACCAGAGATCCCACTCAGGACCTTGTGCTTGCCAGGCACACACTTATGTCACTGAGCTATCTCCCTGGCCCTTTGGTACAATTTTTATTGCATGTGCTCTTGGCAATAGCCTCCTTCCCTCCCTGGGGCAAAGTGTGGCTTCTCAGGTCTGCAAGAACTCAGGCTGTACTCGGGCCACTTTCCGGAACTCTTTCGTGTGAGTCTTCGGGCACTGCATCTCACACCAGCTGATGGGAACCATCTGGACACCTGCAAGGAAGAGCCACGTGGGAGCTGGGGCCCCGCTACTTTCCTGACACTCCTCTCCTCATCTGGGTAGGAAACTGAAGTTGTGTGTGTGGGGGTGCAGCTCAGTGGCCGAGCATTTGCTCAGCGCAGGCAACGCCCTAGGTTCAACCCTCAGGACAACCTTAGAAAAAATATGTCACCTAGAGACATTTACCTCACCTAAAAGAAATCTTGTTTATTCCACTGAGTTATGGGGTAATTTCCCTGTTACATTAGATTTAGGAAACTCATTCTAATTTCAGCAGTAAACACAATCATGTATTGCTTAATGAAGGAGCCATGTTTTGAAAAATGATTGTGTCACAGTACAAACATCACAGAATATATCTGTCTAAACTAAGAGATCAGGGCCGGGGAGATGGCTCAGTGGAACAAGCGCTTCCCTGGCAAGCGCAGGGGCCTGAGTTCAATCCCCGGTTCTGCCAAAGAAGACCAAAAACCAAAAAATGAAGAGAGGGGCCAGGGAGATGGCTCAGTAGAATAAGTGCTTCCCTGGCAAGCGCAAGGGCCTGAGTTCAAGCCCTGGTTCCGCCAAAAAAAACCCCAAAAACCAAAAAACAAAGAGATCTTCAGTATCACTAGGTGATGTAACCTTAAGCCAGGGGTACCCAGGAGGAGGAAGCACCGAGCAACTCACCCGACTCGCTGTGGGCCACCACCACCCCAAGCTCGTTTTCAGCCGTGGTCAGCAGGTAGTTGGACTGCGCATCCCCTAGGGATATCTGGGCACGTAACGCTGGTGAAGGAAAGCAAGCAGCCTGAAGTCTTCTCCCCCAGCTGCTTGAGCTGCTTCTCCACTTTCGTTGCTTATTTTGACAAAGGACCTTCAGAAGTTTGCTGAGAAAAAAAGGATACCACTTTCGCCAAGACTATGTCACCTGGGCGGAAACTCTTATAAATTTCAACCTGCACATAAAGAATGAGAGTGTTAGGTGAAAGCTTTAGATTAGGTTTACATGAAATTATTAACCTCTTAGTAGAGCCAGTTTATCTTTTTTTTTTTTTTTTTTTTTTTTTTTGAGGTGATTGGGATTGAACCCAGGGCTTTATGAATGGTAAGCAATCTCTCACTGAGTCATATCCCCAGCCTGAGCCAGTCTACTTTCTATATCCCAGGGGCCAGATATTATTCTAGTCAATCAACAATTTTGTAAAATTTATTTATTCAGATAGGGTCTTGATATGTGGTTCAGACTAGCCTTGAGCTTACTCTTTAGCCCAGGATGGCCTCAAACTCATGGCAATCCTCTGGACTCAGCCTTCTGAGGGCTGGGATTATAAGCCTGCACCAACATACCTGGTTGTCTTTTTTGAGACAGAGTTTCATTATGTGTGTCAGGCTGGCCTTAAACTCACTATGTAGCTCAGGCTGGCCGCTAATTTGCAGATTCATTTCCATGGATCTTTGAATTCATTAGGACCATACTTTTATAAAATTGAGATTCCTATAGTCATGCAAAAAACAACAACAAAAAAAGCCCAAATTGACCAACAACCTTGTCTTTTTCAGTCGCTCGGACATCTTCCTTGCTATAAAAAAAGAATGGACACAAAAATTAATTATCTCTGAGAAAGAATTACCCTGTTGGTTCTAGCAGCCAGAACCACAGGGTAAGAGCACACAGGACAAGTTACAATGGGGACACAGCTTCCTTCAGGGAAGCAGGAGGAGGCAGCCTTAGTCCACGCTGAGAGAACACCCTCCCGTTCTTGTGCCTGCAGGGTATCAGGGCCATAGCTCCGACCAGAGAAAAGCTGAGACTTGGCAAGAAACAGTAAGGAACTTTACAGCCTCGAGAGCCATGGAGTGAAAGCACCACAGAATCATATGGAACCCTGAGGTTAAGAAGAGCCTTGGGGGCTGGCGAGATGGCTCAGTGGTCTAACGCGCCTGCTTAGGCAAGCTTAGGCAAGCATGCAAGCAAGGACCTTGGTTCGATCCCCAGTACCACATGCCATGCCCATAAAAAAGAAAAAAATAAATAAAGGAAACATTGAAAAAAAAAAAAAGAAGAGCCTTGGCTCAGCAGAATAAGTACTTGCCTGGCAAGCGCAAAGACCTGAGTTCAATCCCCGGTTCCGCAAAAAAAAAAAAAAAAAAGGCCTTGAAAGTTAAACAATCTGGTCTGCAATAACTATTTGTTCTTCCTCAAAAAGCCACAGAGAAAAACAAACTACTGTTCCCCCACAAATAACTTTTTCTCTTTCTTTTTCTTCTTTTTTTTAATTTGGTTTTTAGCAGATAGGGCCTCGCTGTGCAGCTCAGGCTGACCTTGAGTTCGTGGTGATCCTCCCGCCTCAGATTCCTGAGTGCTGGGATTACATGTGTGGCCATCACATCCTACCTCAAAAGCTTCTTAATGTCTAAAAACATTTGAGCTTAATCTGTATTAAGTGCATTTTATTTATTTATATATTTAGTTGTATTAAGACAAGGACTCACAGTGTAGCTCAGGCTGGCCTTGAGCTCACTCTGTAGCCCAGGCTAGTCTTGAACTTGCATCGATCCTCTTTTCTTGGCCTTCTGAGTGCTTATTAAATGCATTTTTAAAAGGTACTTCCTAAAATGCCTTTCACGTTGTTTGCTCTGAATCACCCTTATGTTGCTCACTTTTACCTCTGCTCAATTTGTTTTATTTTTAGACTCTCTTTTACTAACGTTTTCCTTTTTTTTTGGTGGAACCGGGGATTGAACTCAGGCCCTTGTGCTTGCCAGGCAAGCACTTATTCCACTGAGCTAGCTCTCCAGCTCCTCATTTTTTTCCTTTTATCTTAGCTCACAGAACATCTTCTTTGGCTGCTACAGAGAAGAATCAAAGCACAAAGGAGAGGCAAAAGTGGGTAGGGGTAGGAGTAGTAATTGTTTTAAAATTCAACTCTTAGCCAAGCATGAGGTCGTCTCAAAACAAAATAAAAACAAACAAAAAGCAAGAGCCCCCAACTCTCCCGACCATTCTAGTCTCATTCCAGGTGCTAGGGCAAAGTGAAGACTAGAACGCTTCTTACCGGATAGTTCCTCGAAAAGAGTTCTTAAGTGGCGTAGAGCCTACATATAAGATGTGGACTTTAGCAAAACGTGAGTTGATGCTAGAGACCTGTGGGCGAGAGGCTCGGCATCAGACCGCCAGCGCTCGGCAGCTCAAGGGAGCGCAAGCAGCTGGGAATCACTGACTCCAGCCAGCAAGTCTTCCAAGTAGAATTTAAGACAAGTTAACTCCTACAAACCTTTGCTTTAAGTGGTATCTGTGGAATAAAAGTCACACTACCCACCTAGCAGAGTTACTACAGAAATCAAATGAGATGGCACAGCTGGGCCCGGTACAGGAGAGGTGGCCGGCTGAGCCAGGAGGGTCAGATCCGCCTGCCTCAGCCTCCTGAGTGCTGGGATTTCAAGCAACATCATCACCCCCAGCAATACTGGACTTTAGCAAAAAGTTTTTTTTTTTTTTTTGAGACAAGGTCTCACCATGTAGTTTCCAGGCTCTGAGCTCATCATGCAGCCCAGGCTGGCCTCGAACTAACTTGTGGTGATCCTCCTGCTTCAGCCTCTTGAGGGCTGGGATTATAAGCATGTGTCACCACAGCTGGCACCCAGCCATACTTCTATTTTTTTCTATTTTGGTAGCTACAGAAGCCCCATGCCAGGCTTAATTTAAATTTAAATAGCCCTATAGCTAGTGGCTGACACATCAGGTACAGCGCTTTTCTAGAGTGGCTATGATTTTAGCATTGGATACGTATGCTAAGCATAGATTTAGGACCACCTTACCTTACAGGTGACAATAGCTCCCACATCTGGCAGCAGCTGGGACTCTGTTTCTCTCATCACAGATACCACAGGAAGCTACAGAGAAATAAAATGAAAGTTGTGGCTAAGCCTTGGGTGAAAGTATTTGTGGCCTGAGGACAGCACAGGAACGTCTTGGTGTGGTTGAGAACCCGAGGCCAGACGGACCGTGAATTAATTTAGGAGCAAGACAAGGAGGTCCAGGGAGAATGCTGCTAGAAGACATAATCCACCCATTCCAGATTACATATGCTAAGTCTTCTGGTGATTTTCTTGGCACACACTGTATTGTCTGTAATCGCAGAGGACGACTCTAACAGTCCAGGATATAATTACCAAAGAGGTACCATTTAGTGATGGCAATAGTTGTTTTCTTCTTAAGGAATACTTGCAGTTTTTTCTGTGATTATTGATGTAAGACAGCTTTAGCCTCCTCTTTTATCACTCTTCTTCTTCACTGTGCGTATGTTTTCTTCCAGTTTCCTCAACTTACGAAGTTTTTCTAACTTCAGTATCTATTCAGCTTGTTCTTTCCACCAGAACTGCATTCTCCCCAGCTACCCTTAGCCAAGGCAGCCTAAATGTCACTTCCTTTGACTAAGGAATGTTCATTTGTTATGTATGTTCAGGATGCTGTATAATTTCCTTTCCAAACAGCCGGCACATTTATAACCATACTCCCCACCTGAGCATTTATTTATAGGCTGTGTCTGTGCCCTGGGATTGAAAAAATTAAGTGTGTCTGATCCATTATTATTATATCCCTAAAGGCCAGCACTGTGCTTGACCCATGAAATTGCTCGAGATAACTATGAAATGAAGAAACTTAGGAATGCAAAGGACAGTTCCAAAATTGGTTGAATAGAAAGCTCCTCTTTTTGCAGATGAAGAAAAATATAAAGCCAGGGATTTAGGTTTAGTATCCCAAGCAGTCAAGGTCTAGATAGCCAGTACCTGAGATGTTTTACATTTTTTTAAATTTTATTTTATTTTTGGCAGAACTGGGGATTGAACTCAGGCCCTTGCGCTTGCCAAGCAAGCATGTATTCTACTGAGCTATCTCCTCGGCCCCTCTACATTAAAAAAAAAAATTATTTACTTATTTGGTACAGGGTCTCACTCGTAGTGATCCTCCTGTCTCAAACTCCCCAGCACTGGAATTAAAGTCATGTGCCACCATGGCTGGTTTAGGTGGCTGGCACACATGAGGCAATGAGGATTGAACCTGCATCCTTGCACTTGCTGGGCAGGTGCTTAGACCTCCGAGCTATCTCCCCAGCCCATGAGATGCTTTACTTCTTCAACTACTATTGCACTACCGTCTTTAGGCTGCTCCTCCAAAGACTGATTCTGAGCTGACCCTGCACCAACTTCTGGAACTTGGGAGGCCACACTCATGGATCTAACAAGCAGTTATGGAGTATCTACTCTAGGCTAGACACTGAAGGTGTGGCGGGATGTGCGTTCATGGAACTTCAGTCTATCAGGGGAAGGCCTAGTGGGAACATATACCTGAACGTTTAGTTTCGATTGGGGTCTAGAAGCACATCTCTGACAGCATGATTCTTGAGAGGCTTCCTGACAGTGGTAGGAGACACAGAGACTAAGGAGAAGTGTGTTCTTGATAGACGGCACGTGCACATGGCTCTACAGTCAAGTGAGGTGGAGGTAGTGGAGGTGGATGAAAGGGGACGGGTAGGTGACACCAGAACTGGGCTAACCCGGCTACTCTGTTTGCATCTTCTCTGGCCCAACTTCCCTCCACGAATCAGGAGCAGAAACAAGAGCCATCAACCTAACTGGTGTGTGGCGGCCTGGTGCACAGTAGGAGCGATCCCAGGAGAAAGTGAAGAGACCAGAACGTTCTACGGTGAGACACAAGAAGGCGCATCCGCAGTGTGGGTGTCTACGGACCGGAACTGAAGGGCGGCCTAGGAGAAAGAGAAAGCAGAGGGGAAGCCGCCTCTTTTACCGCGCCGTTCTCGCTCCTCTTGGTCAGGCAGCCGGCCAGCGACGAAAAGATGTAGCCATGCCGGGTGTAGGTGCCGCTGCCTGGGCTACCCTCTTCCAAGTTGCACAGACGTTCGCCTGCAGGAAGAGCACGGCATCAGCCACAGGCTCCCAGACACCGGTAGCCATCGGGGGTACTCTAGTCTTTGTCCCCGAGACTCCGTACGGGAACCGCACACTTACCAGGCACACAGTACCTCACAGGCGGCGCCATGACTGCCAGGGATCCCAAACCCGGGCGAGAACAAAGCGAGCTTGTCATTGGCCACCTCTGCAGGGCGCCGCAGGACGACCCGCCTTCATTGGTGCGCGGTGTCGCACGCGCGGGGCGCGCCTCGGCTGGTGTAAACTCCATTTCCCAGGCTCCCCGCGAGCCCAGCCGGGCGGGACTTCGGGCTCCGGCGCTTGCGCTTGCGCGGGCGATCCGGATGGGCTGGCGGCGGGTCCCGGCACCCGGCTGCCGCTGCGGCGACGGGCCATGGCGGGTAGGCTCGAAGCGCCCCCGGGGCGGAGCGGGAGGGCCGGTCGTGGACCGCAGTAGAGGCTGCGGGCTCCCCTGGGCTGTTTGAGCAGTCGGGAGCGGCAGGTAAGGGGACGCCGCGGCCCTTGCTCTGTATCCTTTTTCTGGGGTCGAGCCGCGCGCGTCCCGGGGCCTTGTCGCGAGCCAGGCTTCTCGCTGTCCCCTCGCCCGCCCTGCAGGACCTTGCCCTCCTCTGACAGATCGCAGCCTTCGGGAGGCTGTAACGCGCGGAGCGGGAGGGAGTTCAGCCAGTCCATCTTGCCCATGTCGCAGGTTTACAAACTCATCTCCAGAGACAGTGTTTGACTTGTCCAAAGTCGGGAAGATAGCTCAACAGAGTCAAAGCCAGAGCCTAAGTTTTTTGGCCTCGCTGCCCACTCTGAAAGACTAATCTTTTCCTGGTGTGCAGTTCAGGCTGGCTTTGTAGCCTAGGCTGGCCTCGAGCTGGCAACGGTCCTCCTGCCTCAGCCTCCCGAACGCTGGGATTACAAGCCTGTGCCACCATGCCCAGCTCCCCTTAACTCTGGTTGAGCAGCTTTTTTTAATTTTTTTTAAATTTTTTAATGTTTTTGGCACAGGGTCTTACTACGCAGCTCGAACTTGTAGTGATCCACCTGTCACAGCCTTCCCAGCACTACCATGCTCAGACTCGGTGGCCCGCTCAGTGCGGCCTGTGGGGCTGAAGATCGAACCTTGGTCTCCGCACTTGCCTAGGCAGGCGCTTAGTCCGTTGAGCTATCTCGTCAGCCCTGCAGTTTTTGTTTTTGTCTTTTTCTCTTCGAGATGGTTTCACTATCAGTTCAGGCTGGCCTTGAACTAACCTTGTAGCCCGGGCTGGCCCTGAATTCACAGCGATCCTCCTGCCTCAGTTTCTCAAGGGCTGGGATTACAGGCCTGTGCTACCTGCTCTTTAACTGGTGTTGACATGTCCTGCTTGAGATTGCCACCATGCTGAGAGCAATGTCTTTCTCCAGATGAAATTTGCCTTCACTTCGCTCTGTTTAATCTGACTTCTGATGGCTCTGGAATGTGATCCTCAGCATCTTCCCTTTCCCACCCCCCAAAAACAGATGGTGACTTAGAGTCTTGGGATGAGGGGAGCTGTGCCTTGCAAACCCTAATCTGGTGGCAGATGGCCACAGTGACCTATGAGTACCACTGCGGGATGGGGCCGGTTAGTGTCTGCGTGAAGGGTAGCAGCGTGTTTTGCCGTTTCCTCCTCTTGAGAGCTCTGAGATCACACCGGGTCCGCCCTGCGCGCTTCCGATTTGGAATTCTGCTTCCCTCAGTTTCCCGAATTGGAGTTTCAGTTTCTGTTCCGGCCATGGCCAACGTGTCTTCCCTGACATTTCCATGTTCCCCATGTCCCACCAGCTAAAGTAAGAGTCCGCCTAGCTTGTCCGCTCAGGTTTGACGTGCACTCCTGCAGTGATAGGCTTCCATTTATGTGTTTGTTCTGTTTCCTAAAATGCCCTTTCTTCAGCACCGTGATTCTAATAATAATTTCCATCATTTTTTAATTTTTTGAGACAGGGTCTTCCTATGTAGTTTAGGCTGGCCTTGAACTCACTATGTAGCGCAGGCTGGCCTAAAACTCTGGCAGTCCTCCTGCTGTCTCTGCCTCTTCAGTGCTGGGATTATAGGTATGCACCACCATGCCTGGTATCCATTTCTTTATTAATCAGAAAAAATAGTAGTAGCAGTTGCTTTGGTATTATCACATTGGCAGGAGTGGCCTTGAAGATGCATGTGGGACTGATGGACTTCTGACCAGCCTTTTTACTTCTGCCCCCGTGCAGGTCATTCAGTCAACAAATGTTTTTTGAAGCTGAGTGTGGTGGTACGTGCCTGTAATCTGTACTACTTGGGAGGCTAAGGCAGGAGGATCCTAGGTTTGAGGCTAGCCTGGTCATTTTAGCAAGCAAACTCATGCCTCAAAATAATAAAAACAAAGGGCTGGTGGTATAACTCGGCAGTACAGTGCTGTGTATTGTGCACGAGGCCCTAAGTTCAATTCCCAGCAGCCACCCAAGTACTTATTGAGTACTTCTATGAGGCTGGTATTGTACTAAGTGCTTTATAAACATTTCATTCACACACACACACACACACACACACACACACACACACACATTTAAAGTTGAAACAGGCCTTATAACATTTATTTTCACCTTTTTGAGACAGGGTCTCACTATGTAGTTCTGGCTTGCCTCAAGCTCACTTTGTAGCCCAGGCTGGTTTCGAACTCATAACGATCCTCCTGTCTCAGCCTCCCCGTGCTGCGATTACAGGCCTGTACCACCATGCCTGGTTTAGACCTTAACATTGAATCTTATCCCCTCATTGAACGAGAACACAAGGATATTGAATTCTTCTAGGGTTCAGTGGTTTGTCTGAGGTCTCAAAACTACTGAGGGACAGAACTGAATCGTAGTCAGGTATACGCATTGGTAAACGCAATCTATGAAGTAGGCATTTGATGTGCTCAGGAATTTAAGAGGTGGTTGAGAACATCAGAGAGTAGAGAATCTGAGGATCTTTTTTCTTTAAAAGGGGCTCTGAGGTAGAATATAATTCACATTTTTTTACAGGTAAAGAATGTGTCTTTTTTTTTTTTTGCGGAACCAGGGATTGAACTCAGGCTCTTGCGCTTGCCAGGCAAGCGTTTATTCTACTGAGCTGTCTCTCTGGCCCCTGAAGAATGTATTTGACTGCCACACGATTGCTGTAAAAAGTATTTTAGCAAATAGAAAACTCATCCATCATAAGGGAACGTACAGTGGCGCAGACAGTCCAAAAGCCACCTACAGTTTTTGTGGGGCAATCTGTTTTGTTCCACTCTTATATGTGATTTTGGCTAATATTTTGTAAATTCATGCTTCAGCCAAATCGTGGTGCCAAATAATTGAAGCCCAGCTCAGAGAAGGTAAGCCTGAGGTTTTTCAGCTTTGTCTCTTTGCTACGTCCACTTTAAGTGTCCTAGGAGGTATTGGGAATGACCAGTTTCTTTATTCTGGTGCGGTAGGTCAGCCCCTTCCCAAATTGTCAGTCTTCTCTTTTTGTAGGTCTTATCTGCTGGCTTGTTTTTGTGTTAGGGCTTATGAGCCTGTAGAAAGAGGTAATTAAGTACTTTGTTTGAAAGGCTCTTTGTGGGGATGAGCCAGGGTGCAAGGAGAGTACAGTGCTCCAGTTACTGAAGTGAAGCCATTCCCATAGCCTAGCAGCCTCCTCCAGTTTCCACTGGGTTTTGAGCTGCCTGTTAAATAAGTCACTGGAGCTGTTTAGGACAGAGAAGCACTCACTGGGTGTCCCATGGGAAAAACCAGATAATTTCTTTCTGGGAAAGACTTACTCTGTAGAATTGAGACAGTCACAGCAGGAGTCCGTTAGAGTGTCTGTGCCTTTGGTTCTGGCCATTGCCTGGGCAGTGACCTCCCACGCTGCGTAAGGTGGAGTGCAGAAATGGAAGCACTTGCAGAGAGGTCCTGGGAAGAGCTGATGAGCTGGGAAGGTGGCTGGGAAGCCTGGGACCAAGGGCAGTGTTGCACAGATGTTCTCAGTGTGACTAAAGAGTGGAGCAGGGAAGGCTTACTTGGAGAGGGCTTCGGGAACTACCAGCATGGAAATCCCTGTCTTCTGTCTCCTGCCTTTATCGTCCTGGCTGCTACAGCCTTGGGCTGGGGCTGGGAGTGGAACGAGAGACAAGGCATCCAGTGTCACGCGAGGGGTGGCTGACTGTCCTGACTGAGATGGGATCTCTGACTGCAGGGCTGAGTCTGCTGGCCTGTAACATCAGCCCAAAGGGAGCAGGCTAGGACACAAGAGTGTCTTTTGCCAAGAGTCAGATGGCACCGAGGAAGATCTAGGTGCAGGGATCCACTGGGTGGGCAAGCGGTAGTAGGGCAGGGCAGGCTGGAGACCCTGAGGAACTGTGTCAGTGGCCATGCTGGGACACAGGGCAGCTTTGTCCATGTTGGCTGTGCTCTACCCCCTCTTCTGTGTGCACGGACAGCTCCAAAGACTGCTTTGACTTGGAGCCACCTGGCTCTCCCTTACTCCTTTGGGATTTTATTCCTTTTCTTTTTTTTTTTTTTTTTGCTGACTCAGGCTGCCTTAAGGGTGGGTCTGGTAAGGCATGGGGATCCGGGGATCGAACCTCGGTCACCTGTGCCTGACGGGGTTTGCCCCAGCAGGCGCTTAAACAACTGAGCTAACCTGCAAGTGCCCCCCACCCTTTACTGTGGCCCTTTCTTTATTCTAGGTATGTAGGTGTGTACTTTGGATTTGCTAGTATCATCTGCCGCAGTCCTCAGGCTAGTCCCATGAATTAGGTGTGGAAATGGAGGCTCAGAGAGATGACTTACCATGCCCGTTGTCATGTGTACCTATGTAGTACAATGTAAAAGATACGATTTCTGCAGGCTTACCTCCTGAGATCTGGTTGTAGCATTGAATATTCTGTAGAAAAGTGAAGTGAGGGGCCAGGGAGATGGCTCAGTAGAATAAGCACTTCTCTGGCAAGCACAAAGGCCTGAGATCAATCCCCGGTTCCACCAAAAAAAGAAAGAAAAGTGAAGTGACCTTTCTGCTGCTCATAGTTGATGACTGTCATGACTGGGCTTTAACCTGGGTGTTTGCTCTCCAAGCTGGTGCCCTGGGTCTTTCTACGGTGAGGTAGGGAGCCATAGGACTCAGGCCGGATCTTCACAGTAGTACCCTCTTCCAGGAGTCATGCGTGGCCAGCGGAGCCTGTTGTTGGGCCCAGCCCGCCTCTGCCTGCGCCTGCTTCTGCTCCTGGGCTACAGGCGCCGCTGCCCACCTCTGCTCCGGGGCCTGGTGCAGCGCTGGCGCTACGGCAAGGTCTGCCTGCGTTCCCTGCTCTACAACTCCTTTGGGGGCAGTGAAACCGCTATTGATGCTGCCTTTGAACCTGTCTACTGGCTGGTGGACAACGTGATTCGCTGGTTTGGGGTGGTAAGTGATACCCAGGCAGCAGGAAAAGGGAGGTTTTAGGGGGGCCCAGCGGGATGTTTCTGGTGGACCCGCACTAGGTTCTAGAGGCAAGGTTCCTGCCCACAGAGGAATTCCTGCACTTCCCACGGGTGTGGCTCTCTTGCTGTGTCTACCTGACCTCACTGGTGTTGGCAGGTGTTTGTGGTTCTGGTGATCTTGCTGACCAGCTCCATTGTGGCCATCGCCTACCTATGTGTCCTGCCGCTCATCCTCCGAACCTACTCAGTGCCACGACTCTGCTGGCATTTCTTCTACAGTCACTGGAATCTAATCCTCATCGTCTTCCATTACTACCAGGCCATCACCACTCCGCCGGGGTACCCGCCCCAGGTGGGTGTCGGGGGGTAGTAGGAGGAGCCAGAGTTGTAGGCTGTGGGAGCCCCTCTCAGAAGTGGGGTGGGAATGCCTTGGGATCTTCTGAGACCCAGACCGGGTGCTGCGGCGGCGCTCACGATGCTCTTCTCCTTTTGCACAGGGCAGGAATGATATTGCCACAGTCTCCATCTGTAAGAAGTGCATTTACCCCAAGCCAGCCCGGACACACCACTGCAGCATCTGCAATAGGTGGGTGCTGGCTTTGCTCTCTCGAACCCCAGCGACGATCCTTTTGCCACAGCCCTAGGGCAAAACCTGGACCTGGAGTCGCTAAGACATGTATCAAGCACCTGTTGGGAGGACATGTTCCACGCAGGATGCTTTTGATCTCCTGCCGCAGTCCTCAGGCTAGTCCTGTGAATTAGGTGTGGAAACGGAGGCTAAGAGAGACGACTTACCATGTCCGTTGTCATGTAGCCAGTAAACTGCAGAGCGGGGCTGGAAGCAAGGATTGGCTGTCTTCAAAGTCTGCCCTTTCCACCTCAGCAGGATGCTGGTCCTTGTAGGGAAAGGACTTGCACTGACATCCCAGGAGCCCTGGCTACCGTAACAGAGCCTGTGTCCCTCCCTCACAGGTGTGTGCTGAAGATGGATCACCATTGCCGTATCCTTTTGCTGCCTTCTGCCCAAGGCCTTAGCTCCAGAGCACTTTGTAGGGTTAATGGCCACAAACCCACGGCTTCTCGAATCACCTTACAGAGAGCACTGGGCTTACAAGAAATTAGTGAAGGAGTCACTGGGAGCTGACCATTTTCTGGGGACAGCAGGGGCCTCACGCTCTGTGGGATGGGTCTTCTGGAAGCGAGGAGTCTTCTAATAGGTCTTCCTCTTGTAGGTTGCCATACTAACAGATACTGAGTAGAAAGGGATATGGGCACCTGTGGTTCTGTTAGGGGTGCTGGATAGAATATCAGTCCCCTTCTGTCCTGCTCAGATGCCTGGCTAACCCCAGCTGGATTGAAGTACTGGCACATACATTTTCTTGTACTCAGTGTTTTCGATTTTCATGATTTCTTGGGCTGGAAGAGTTTCTAATAATGTTGTCTCAAACTTGGGAAGTGATTCTGTCTTCTGCCTTTGAAAAACAGTTCTTGCATGAGCGATGCCTTAAACCAAGGATGAACCAGAAAGGCCTGGACACCTGCCAAAATTGTATTTGATCTTGTCCTTAATCAGTCCTCCACCAGCCTGGCTAAACAACTGTGTGGGTCACTATAACCATCGCTACTTCTTCTCCTTCTGCTTTTTCATGACTCTGGGATGTGTCTACTGCAGCTATGGAAGTTGGGACCTCTTCCGGGAGGCTTATGCCGCCATTGAGGTGAGCCTGTGGGGAGGACAAGGCTTCTCAGGAGTCCGCAACATGGGAATAGAGCTTGGGAGCTTCCTAAGAATTGGGGCTGGTGGCACCCCTCTCCTAGGGGCTGCAAGTATAACCAGCACTGTTTTCCATCCCTTAGAGAATGAAACAGCTCGACAAGAACAAACCACAGATGCTTGCCAACCAGGTGGGCTGTCCCCACCCCTCTGCCTCCTGCTGCTCAGGCAGCTAGGCCTGCTAGTTTAGTTCAGGGGCAGGCTGAGAGAGAGGCCCAGGTAGCCCGGATCAGGAGTGTGCTGGGAGGCTGCCGTGAATAGACCACGTGGCCTGCGGGCAAGTTGGAAGCCTGGTACTTGACGGGTTTTGGCTGTCCCATCATCGCTTTCTCTTTGGGCTGAGCCTGGCCTCTGCCTTGGTGATGGCCTGAGCAGCAGGGAGTCTGTGTTGGTCTGTGTGATGGGGCTCCAGGGGACAGAGCAGGCTGGTCCACGTGCACCTGAATTGCCCTTCCTGTGTCTCGGGACTATTCCAACCACGTTTTGGGCTAATACTGTACTCGTGCTGCCCTTCTGCAGGCCTTCATGGAGTTTGTGGTTCTTCGCTTTCGTTAGTGTATGCTGGGTGTAGGCCTGGCCTTTCCTGGGATGCGGCCACATAGTGGCGCTCTGGCTGGAGATGTGGAGGGACTCCCCCTGGAGCCCTGTTCATGTTGTCAACTTAATGGCCCAGGGTCAATTCCTTCTGTGCTTTGTCCTTTTGTTCAGACCCGCTCTGCCCAGTGTTGTCCTTGTGATGGTGTCACTGGGTTTGGTCCACCCATCTGGCTGCTGTCCTGACCCCTTGTGGTGGCTTTCATCCCCATCTTCTCTGCGTGGGTTTAGGTTACTTTTTGCCTGTAAGCAGGCACCTGGGCTCCAGTAACTGCTGTTACTGGAGAACAAAGTGAAGGAGCCAGACTTTGCTTTTTTTCTTTTTCTAGACTTATCATCAGACCCCACCACCTACCTTCTCCTTTCGGGAAAGGATAACTCACAAGAGTCTCGTCTACCTCTGGTTCCTGTGCAGGTATGGAACTCGGTTTTGGTAGTTCTGAGGGACACTTTCAGGAATACCTTTCTAGGTGTCCACACGCAGGTAGAAACCCATCCGAGGGACCTGCCTCTGTCCTGCTCGTCTAATTGAGATTGGCAGTCACTTCAGCAGTTTGGAGCAGGGAACGTTAAGTACGTTAGCATTACTTCTGGTCACTAAACACCAAGGGTGCAGACATGCTTGTTGTGTACCAAGGTGAGTTAACTCCTTGCTTCTTGTTCCTAGCACCTACCTAATGGACTACCCATTGCGTTTATAGATACCCAATGCGTTTATAGATGAGGAAAACTGCAAACTGCAGGGGTAAAGTAAGTTCTTCTTTGGTACACAGCTAGCATGGGTCAAGTGACATGGGCCTGGCAAGCATGAGGACCTGGGTTGGATCCCTGGTACCACATGCTGTGCTGGCCATTGATACTGAGGCTGGTGGCACATACCTGTAATCCTAGTGCTGAGGAGGCTGAGGCAGGAGGGTCACTATGAGTCTGAGTTGCGAAGTGAGACCCTGTGCCAGATAAATAAATGACTTAAAAAAAGAAAGGATGTGAATTTATCCTAGTCTGACCTCAGTGATTTTATTACCCTCCACTGTCTCACAGCTTCAGTATTTTAGGAAATACTGAACATTTTTCTCAGTAACAGCCTTATTTCCCCGCCCTCCTTTCCACATCATTGATTCTCAAGCCATTTTGATTTATTTTCACTGACACTTTCAAATGCAGTCATCTAGGCTATACGCCGGATGTAAAGACAAGGCAGAGGCTGTTGGCCCGTTCTTGCTCAGCTCAGTGTCACGCCTTTTCATGTCCACCAATCTCTGCCTCTCAGTTCTGTGGCTCTGGCCCTGGGTGCCCTCACGGTATGGCACGCTGTTCTCATCAGTCGGGGTGAGACGAGCATTGAGAGACACATTAACAAGAAGGAGAGACGTCGACTACAGGCGAAGGGCAGAGTGAGTAGAGCTGCGGGCCGGGGGCGGTCGGTGGGTAACGGGACTTGCATCCTGTAAACACAGGCCTCGGTCAGGGTTGCCTAGGCAAGAGTCCTAAAGACCGGAATTAGAAGTTTGTAGAAATGTGTGTTTTTCTTGGCCCTAGGTATTTAGAAATCCTTACAACTATGGCTGCTTGGACAACTGGAAGGTATTCCTGGGTGTGGACACAGGAAGGTAAAGTAAGACAGAGACTACTGCTGTCCAACAGAACTGTGATGAGGAAAAGTCTGTACCTGGGAGAACCAGGTACTTAGAACATGGCCAGTGCCACCGATGAGGCCCCCCTTCCGCCCACACTGGGGAATTGAGTCCTGGACTTTGTGCTGCGCTACGTCCCCAGCTGTTTTTTATTTATGCTCCGCACTACACCCCCAGCTGTTTTTTATTTAGACAGGGTTTCACTAAGTTGCCCAGGCAGGACTTGAGCTTATGATCCTTCTGCTAAGCCTCCCAGAGGGCTGGAGTAGAGCATTCCCACCACCACAGCCTGCTAACTAATGTTTTAAGTGAATTTAATTTTCATGAGTTTAAAGTCCCATGTGGTTAGTGGCTCTTGTCTGTGCAGTTCTAGAGTCTAAGAACAGAAATTTCATTTGAAACCAAAAAGGCTTGAAGCTGACTATAGTGGAATCCTGAGGAAGCTGTTCTCCACAGGGGCATTAGGTGGGATGCAGTGGCCATCAATCCCCTCACTTGTATGGCAGTGTCTGGAGTTCAAGTCAATAATACACGAAACTGAGGTAATTACTTGTGATAGAGGTCTTTAAAGGCAGCAAATGAGGCTAGCTCTTTTGAGTGCAAGAGACAAGGCAAGTATTCCTCAGATCTGTTACTGAGGCAATTAACAGCAGATGGTCGTAAGTACTTTCCTCCCTTCCCCATCCGCAGGTTACTCCTGCCTACCACTGTGCTTGCAGTAGCTCAGAACTTCCAAGAGGCCTTTAAGGTTCCAGAGGGTGCATTTATTAGACACAGTTGAAGAAAGGGTATTAGAACTCTTGTTACTTTGGCTTGATATATGCTTACTGTGGAATGAGTACAAAGGACAACCAAGAACTCTGGAACTCAGAGACCTGTCTTCCTCTTGTAGGCACTGGCTGACCCGGGTGCTGTTACCTTCCAGTCACCTGCCCCACGGGAATGGAATGAGCTGGGAGCCCCCTCCCTGGGTAACTGCTCACTCGGCCTCTGTGATGGCAGTGTGAGCGATGGCTTGAGCATTTGTTCTGCTGCCTATAATGCCTCGAGGGCCTCCAAAGGCACCTCTGAATCCTTGATCAGAAGAGCCAGTTGACCTGCCCTAGGGTACTATGCACGGTCACCTCAAGGACCCACTTTCTGCTCACTGCAGATGGAAGACACAATGTGGACAAATCCTAGCACTGATGTCTCTTACTCAGGCAAATAGAAGTTCCAGTCCCAGACTGGGGGCCAGGCAGCTAGCTACCCTGCCCTCCGCCAGATTCAGCACTGGGGCTGGTCATCTCCTTTTTCCACTTGCTGGCTGGGAGAACACCTAAGGTTACAGTGGGGATTCTGGCTTCTCAATGGGGCGAAAACACCAGGCCTGCTGCTGAGGTCACTGCCATTTCTCAGACGCTAGTGAAGGGAGCAAAAATAAAGGCATTTGATTTGTAAAGATATGGAGCTTCTCACTCTTTGCCTCACTGTAAGGCAGGGAAAGCGAGGATAGGATCAAGGCCTCCTGAGGCTCTGGTGGGGCCTCTTTGTCCTACTAGTCCTTTATTGCTAATCCTCTAGTTTGGGGCAGTGATGCCTCTGGCTATGTGCTACCAAGGGCATATCTGACAGGCAGCCCTATGACCCAAAGAAATCTTTATTCTCCATTAGGCACACACAGTCACCATCCCTGGTCTTCAGGGTCACACCCATCTGCATTCATCCCTCAGTAGCATAGCTCCCTTTGCCTGGTAAAAGATGTTAGGGAAGAGCCCCATAATCCAAGATCTTTCTTCAAACACAAGTAGTCTTGCTTAGTTACTTCACAAATCCATTGCAAATCAGGCCTGAGGTTTCTTGTACAGCCATGAACAGAAGCCCCACACTTGCACTCTGTGGAAAGGCGGGCAGAGGTCAGTGGTCTCCTGGCCACAGACAAGATGGCTCAACAGTTAGTAATTCCAGGTTAGATTGTCTGTCAGATGAGACCACGTTGGGATCAGGGCTCAGCTGCCAGGGCTTCCTAGCAGAAACCTGCAGGCGGAGAAGATGTTGGCAGCCAGCATTAGCAGTGAGGCTCGTCTCAGCCCAGCGCTGCCCCATGACCAAGAACTCACCACTCTCCCCTGGCTGACACGGCTTCCTTGCGCACCAGTCTCTTCTTGTCGTCCAGTGGCTTGGCTAATGCCCGGATCACATGTGGTTTGTATGGCAGCAACTGTGGAGTCAGAGGAGAAAATTTTAACCTTATTCAACCATGGCAACCAGGAATGCTGCTTTTTGACCTTCCACAACTAGTATTTGGAAGAAAGCAAAAGGTGGGGTTTTTTTTGGTACTGCGAATCGAGCCAGGAAACCAAGTGGTAGAATTGGCAATTCTATAGGATGGTCAAGATTAACTAGGTCTATTCTGATCCCAAAGGTGGGGAGGAACCTGTACCTATCTGTAGCTTATAGCTATCTTTTTTTTTTTTTTTTTGCGGAACCAGGGATTGAATTTAGGCCCTTGCGCTTGCCAGGGAAGCGCTTATTCCACTGAGCCATCTCCCCGGCCCCTAAATTATAGCTATCTTTTTAAGAAATGTATTTGGTACAGGGTCCCATTACGCGGCTTAGACTTGTGATGATCCTCCTGTCTGCAGACTCCCCAGTGCTAGGATTACAGGTGTGTGCCACCATGCCTGGTCTGGGTGGCCATTCGGCGCGCCCGGGGGCGGGGCTAGTGTGGCATGTGGTGTTGGGGATCGAAGCCCTGTTCCTGCGCTTGCCTAAGCAGTTTAGTCAGCTGAGCTATCGTGCCAGCTCTAGCTGTCTCAATTGCACTGCAGGGTGGCTAATCCCACTCCATGAAGGCAAAGAGTGCTTTTCAGGGAGGACAGCTGAGGAGGAGGTACTTACCACAGGAGCAGGCAGGCGAGTGAGGGCATGCATGCACTGCAGCGCAGCGATCCGGACTCCCTAGAATACAACCAGAAGGAGGTGAGGGAGGCCTCAGAGAATGAGGTGCCACAGATGTGCTGAGGCTTAACGCACCATGGAGGAGCTGGAGCTGAGGTTCAAAAACTTGGTGACCAGTGTGTCCACATGGAGACTCATGACTTGAGGTGCATCCAGTAGAAGAGGCTGAAGGCAGCTGAGGGTAGAGAGCTGAACCACAGAATCAGAGCAGGACAGGGCCTCCAGGAGCAGGGAGAGAAGCTAAGAGGCAACAGGAAGGGAGATCATACTGTGGGGCTCCTGGTCCTCTTCCTCCTTCCCCTTCTAGCTCCAGCTACGGGAGAATAGCTTTGTCCCTTGCTTGGAGGCTGCCTGCACAACTTACTGTGGGCAGTTCTGGCAAGAGCACAGGCTTGGGCAGTCTGTGCAGTACATGAGACAGACCCTTCAGGTAGTTTGGCTTCACATCTGTAAAAAGGGAAGAAAGGTCAATATCCTACTATGCTGGGATATTAACCTATAAAAACGAAAAAAAGTTGCTTGAGTTGAGAATAATCAAGACATATTCTTGTCAACTTTCTAGGTACATACCACAGTATAGCTATTTTTGTGGGGGGTTTTGGTCTTTTTTGAGAGAGGGTTTCACTGCATTGCAGGCTGGCCTTGCTAGCTTTGTAGCCCTGCGGGCCTCGAGCTCAGTGATCCTCGTGTCGCTCGCCTGAATGCTGTGATTACAAGTTTGTGTCACCACTCCTGGCTTATACCACCCAAATCACTTGAGTCCCAAATTATTTTAGGGATTGTGGCCAAGAGAAGAGGTCTATATACGTGGGGCCCTTCTTTCAGACTCTCCTTACGTTGGGGAGCAGCATGGAAGCCTTGGACCAAAGCAGGGACATTGTCTGTGAAGAACCGCTGGCGAAACATGATCCGTACTTCAGCATGGGCAGCACGAGTCAGCACATCGGTACAGTCAGACATGAGCAAGGAGAAGCCATCAGCTGCTGCTGGGCCTAACTCTGGGTCGCTCAGGAGGCCCATGAGCTGAAAAATAGAAAGCCTTTCAAGCACATCACTAGAGAACAGTCTTAAAATGAGGATGAAGTCATTCCTGGGAGCTATGGCGCTGACGTAAAGTTCTGTCTCCTAGGAACGACTTACCCGAGCTGTGAGGGAGGAGTTGCGAGGATGGTATCTGAGTACTAGGGCCTTTGTTACCTAGAGTGAGAGAGACAGAGAGAAGCTGGGGCTGACATTCAAACCCCAGGACTCTGAGGTACAGCTGTTGATGGCTCAGGGTCAAACAGGGATGTTTTACTTAGTCACAATTCCCGCGTCCAGTCAGAATCTACCCCACCTCCTTACCCAGAGCAGCAGCGTGAAGGCCTGGTGACGAGTGGGCCCGGAGCCCAGCCCAGCCTCCACCGCGTCCACAGCCAGCTGCACAAATTCATCCAGCTGCTGCCCTGGGAAAACGGGGACATGCTGATGCAATAGCAACTCATTTTTCTTTTAATGACCAATGATGAAAATAATAAGTGCAGAGCACCTGCGAAACCATTAGAAAAAGGCCAGTGTCATTCTGCCTATAGACAGAATGATCAGACACCAGCATTACAGCCTGCTAAACCACTCTCATGATGCGGTGCTGCTGACATTTGAGAAGAGAGGTCCGCTACTCCCACTGAAGACTTACCCGTGACACTGCCAATGTTAGGACCTCAAAATGCTTATGTATTTGTGGTGACAGGGTCTCACTACGCAGCCTGGCCTCATAGTGATCTTCCTGTTTTTAGCCTCCCAGCACTGGGATTACAGTACCACTATGCCCAGACTCTGGCCAGACCCTGGAGGTGGGGCTGGCATGGGCACATGGTGCCCGGGATCAAACCGTGCTCCCTGCCCTTGCCTAAGACTGCGTAAGCATGTGCTTTAGTCACCAGCCCAAAATGCTTTTTAAAAAAATCCCCTATAGTGTTTTGCCCAATTCTGTTTTGATTCTTGTCCCAGGACTGCCCAAAGGCAGCGTCTGAGCAGGTGAAGTCCTATCATGATATGAGATGGCCTCCTTTTAGGAAAATGAAGATGACACTGAAAGTCTTCTGGTGGGAGATGTGAGATTCACGCAAGCTCATTCCAGTACCTGCAGGGTGCTTGTTGAGGAGTCCTGCAAAGCACTTAGCAGCAGCGGTGGCGGAGAAGGGACAGCGATGGCAGCAGCTCAGTTCCAAAAGCTCCCGCATGAGTTTGTCCAGCTGAGGGATTTCCACCTACAGAAAACCTGGCCATGTAACGGACCCAGAAAATACTTGAAGTCCAAAAGAATCCCAGTAGAGAGCAGCAGCAGAGACAAGAGTGGAGGACTACTCCAATGAGGCAAGCAAGGTCAGCCTAGAGCTCACTGGAGATCCAGCTCCCTAAATGTGCTCACTCACGTTCTGAGGCAGGGAACACACGAAGGCCATAAGCAATGCCACCAGCCGCCTCTGGCTTGAAGAGCCCTCCTGTAAAGGAATAAGAGCAGGTCGTATAGCAGCAGTAGGTTTGTCTGCCTCCGTAAGGCCTGAAAGATGTTTGAAGAACAAATTCCAAGATTCTTTTCCATCTGACTCATCAGACTTGTCACCTGGAATGGCTGGAATCTGCTTGGGAAGCTGTTTTCAGGCAGAAAGGAGGTGTTGCCGTCCAAGAAGAGGGACACTATGCGGGCGACACTCTGAGCTGCTAACCTGAGGGCAGAGTACTTGGTGTTATCCAGGAAGTAGGATTCAAAGACAGCCCTCCCTGCGCAGCAGTGCCTTTCACCTGATGTTCTAATCAGGGCCGCTGGACCACAGGCCAGGCCGTGGTCACTCATTCACACTCTCAACAAATACTATGTGGGGGGCCGGTGAGATAGCTCGGCACCTACTTAGGCAAGTGCAGGGACTGCGGGTGGATCCCAAGCACCACATGCCATGCCAGCCCCGCCCCCAGGGCAGGCTGAGCCAGCCACAAAAACAAAACAGCAACGACAAAAAACCCCCCAAATACTATATGGCTGGAACTTTTTCCATTCCAGATTGCCGTGATAGAGCAGTGGACCAGATAGATGAAATTGGTATTCTTTTAGAGCTTGCAACCTAGTGAAGAACTCAATGCATGTTTTACTTTTTAAATGCTCCACAGGTAATTGTGCAGCTAAAACCGACTGGCCAATGGCTCACCCACCCCAGGGTGCTAAGATCATCTCTTTTCGGCTTCATCAGTCAAACAGCTGCCTGCCATCTATGTGCAGGCGCACGGACCGCTGACGAGGCCACTGTCTGTTGCTTCTGCTCTCCTCCCTGTGTTGCACCCACATCCGTGGCTGTACTCACTCAGGGCTTAAGTGGGTGGTGGCAGTGCCAATGACAGACACCATGGCAGCCAAGACCTCATCCTCCAACAGCACTTCTCCCAAAATTGAGGGTTCCTTCTCTGCAAAAACAAAGCACCAACTCACGTACACATCCACAATCACAAGGCCATCGCACGGCTCAGAAAG